GTACTGTTGATTGAGGACATTTGCTACAACTTTGGCATAGGGAACGTAAGAAGGGGCCAAGGAATTTGGGTGGTTGTGAAAATTATGGTCCCTTTTTGGGTACCCTAAATATTAGGTGCCGTATTAAAATAAGGATCCAAAAAGGGACCATAATTTTGACAACCACCCATAGAACCCTATATTAAGCCCTATATAGCCCCTATATAACCCATTATAATAGTTTCCATTTTCTTTTCCATTATCCCTATACAACCCATAATTTTGACAACCACCCATTCGTTTTCGTAAGGGCAGAGGGCAGAGGCTCAGAGCTGATGTCGTGGAAGCCTGAAGAGCCACTGGCATTATTCCCTACATTCAAACCATGCACTAGTCAGGGTTTCTAAGCCAAACCCTAAATCCTAAACCCTAAATCCTAAACCCTAAATCCGAAACCTTAAATCGTAAACCCGAAATCAAAAACACTATGGTAGTTCCTAAGAAGGCAGGGGTCCCAGGGTCGCGCAAGATGTCCTCCATTAGCAAAGGCTCGCGTGTCCTTGGATGACAAGCCTGAGCCCAAATCAATGAAAGCAAAACGCCATATCCCTTTTTCTTCCAAACCCCCTAACCTCAATCCCTAGACCCTAAACTCTGATCCTTAGCCCTAAACCTAAATCCCTAGCCCCCACCACTAAACAGCAAAGCTTAGACCATAACCCCTGCATGCTGAACCCTAACCCTTACACCCAAGTCAACAATAACCCCTACGTCCGGAACTTGCGAAGGATGCACAGCTCTTTGTTCTCATCTTCCTTACTTGGCTCGTGGCGTTCAGCACTGTGGTGGGCCGCCCAGGCTTGGTTTTTTTGGAAGTTTCAATATTGATGCTTATGTAGCATTTTATGGTGTTAGGGTTTGGGCTTTCAGGCTTGTTTTAGGCTTTCGGGTTCAATGTGTGCTTGACAAAATGGGTTGCGGCTCCCAGGGACGCCAGAGGCATCTTTTCAAGGGGATCAGGCAGGGGGACCTATTCAGGATAATGTCGGGGATGCTTTGAGAGCCGCCCATTCTTGAGCCACCGCAGCACCAATGAAGCCGGTCAGTAACATTACAGATTGACAGAGACATGGCTTCATCGTATTCGTAAGGTCAGGGCAAGAACTTCGTCTAAGAATGGCGCCCGCGATAGATCAGTTGATCTGATAGCCGTAGGAAACGCAAGAACTATAACCCCTATATACCAGCTTCACATATACCCATATTCCCTACTAAGAACCAGCAAGAATAGAGCGCTTGCAAAAGCAAGCACACAACAGCCACACTGCTGGGCCTATGGCCCCTACCTAGCCCTGAGCAATGCTCCCTTTTTTGGTCCAAGCAGTTGCGTGAAGCCCTACACCCTGAACCCGGCATCAGATCTTCGATTCATGTCAAGGTTCCTGTCGAAGCCTCAACCTTTCAAGGTCTCCAGGCCTAGAGTCATGGAGCCCCTATGCCCCCACCCAGTGCATGGGCCCCACGAACACAGGTCGTATTGGGGATCACTTGGGATCGTTGAGGTTTGCTATGGGGGAATGCAGGTTGCCGGGGCCCATGGCAGTCCTGTGATTCAAGCGTAAGTCACGGGCCCTGAATTCTTAACCGAGGTGGTGTCGCCGACGTTGTTCGTGGCTTTGATCCCAGCAGCGGAGGCATTTATGCCAGTTTAACCCGGTTTTAGGTTGGGGCCAAGGATTGTATTCCAAGCTCTTTTCCTCTCATCTTCAAGTCCCCTTTCCAAGGGCCTCCCTCACCTGGAAACCGTGTGCAGCAGGAACTGGCACGGGTGATCCGGCTGAGGGATTTGGAGCACTTTTTGGAGAAGTTCGGCTGATACCAAACATCCTGCATGACGCTCTAGGACTCTATGTAGACGGCTTGTACGTCGGGAATCGCGGCATTCTGCTAGAATTCCCTCTGCTTCATTAGTCAAATTCCCTACCCAGGAAAAACACATTTCCACACCCCCCGAATCCTTTCAGGCATCTCATTGATGTAGACGACTGCATAGGTACCAGTGTTATCTTCCTGTCATCCTTACATAAGGTGTTTGCCCCTTTTGGGGTCCCCATATTCAGGGTACCCGCAACAGGAACACAAGTTCGACAGCCCGCCATTCAACCATGTACAGTATGAGATACCCCCCCAAACCTAATAAGTTTGCTCAAGCCCCTAGATTAGGTAGGGACGTTTTAACACTTTCGGAGGAAATGTCTGCTGGTAGAGAGGAGTAGTATTCAGGGATGCTATGGTATCCTCTTTTGGGTATGGTATTTATTGAAGAGGAATGTTATGTTACCTGGGTCGGTCACCAACACTGGCTACCATGCTGATAGCGATGCAGATTCTCACATCCACGGTAGGAGGGAGTAAGGTAAAGCACCCTGCCGGCCTGTAGGTTCACATGATGTGGAGTGGGGTTCGCTCGCCTGTTGCCGCCAAACTATAGTAAGAGCCTGCGGACCCAAGATTGCATAGCAAGTATTGCAACCATAGTTCTGCACGAGAGGCCTAGTTAGTGGTGTTCGTTTGCAAACAGGTAAACTTTGCAGCCCAATATCTCTGCATTCACCATGAGCCCTAAGTCCTCAAACTGCTAAGCTCCCCAACTCAGGACTTGCCCGTCCCAAACTTCATGACAAGATGGCCCCTGGCTCCCAATCAGCCCAACGAGGAGGTATGTGTTTTGAACACAAGGGCAAGGGAGTCATGATTGGAGACCCCTCTCCTCAAGCCCCTAATACTCACATCCCCCAGGCCCCGGTAGGCAGGCTCATTTGTGGACATGGCAGAATGGAAAATAAAATGGAAACT